CTATTAGTATAGTACAATTTTTTTGCTGAGTGCGCGAACAATTTTTGCTTTCCTGAAATTAACAAACTTGAAGTTGAAGTTCAAAAAGTTCCATCTTTGTTACAAAATAATAAAAATTATCAACAAGAAAAACATTACAATTTATCATCAATTTTGGATCAAATTCATCTATTGTCATCAATAAGTGCACACGTTCATCTTCAATCAATACTCCACAGCACACTCCTGCTCAAGCGCCCAATAAAGAACTAAACAGATCAGCATTTACTTTGCCCATTAGTACGTTTAGCGCCCAAAGGAGAAGCCTAAAGATTATTAACTAAAGAACAGCGGCAACAAATCAAAACCATTTCAACACTGTTCATACTTGAATTAAACCAAACAAAGCACACAGATTGCCTTATATTCACACTGCTAGTTCATTCCTTTGATTTCCATCATCCTTCCAGCAGCTGAAAGTATTGTCTTCTCATAATTGTGCTATAATATAAATATATTACAGATTAATCATCAAAAATTTCATTACAATTATATTTCATTTTTTGCATTCCTTTCCAAATCTAATCAATATCACTATTTGGGAACACACACACACACATTAATTTCAGTTCTAGTTTTCATTTATTAGCTCTATTTTGAATCATTAATAATAATAGCTTAAACAAAAATGTCGGATTATAGAAGAAATATTGCTGATTCCGAGCTAAAACTTGATTCCCTTTCTTTGAATTCCTCTCAACATCCATCAACAACAACTTCTGCAACAACATCAAACTCAACCGCTCCAACGTCAACAGCATCATCATCCCATGGTAATGATAATAATCATTCATCTTTCAAATCACCAAGAAGTTCAAGTACTTATACATCCAATATCAACGCTGATATTCAAGCAAAATTGTTAGCTTTTCAAGAACAACGTCAATCCAAATCAGCTCAAAATAATCAAGAACAACCTGTTTTGAAAACTAACGCTACAACTGGATCAATCCTAACCACAAATCATGAAGATCATAAGAATCCTTCACCATTGAGTTTATCAACAAACTCAACACCTTTAATGAGCCCACCAAATTTACCAGAAGGTACAGGAAGCTTATCAACTCCACCAATAGCTTTAGGATTAAGTAGGAAGAAATCACTACAACAAAATAAGAAGGCTGAAAAACCTTTACCACCATTACCTGGTACACCACCAAGTCTTTCTCAATCATCAAATTCTACACATCCATTGAATGATAAAAGTTTAAACCCAGTTAGACCAGCTCCATCACTACCAATAAATTCTCAAGTTAGTCCTCAAGTTGCTGCTAGATTACCAAAAGCTAAACCATCCTTATCAATGAGAAGAGGTATGAAATTACCTGGTGGATTACCTTCTTTAAATAACGAAGATCAATCATCAACTTCATCTACTTCTGAAACCCAATCATCCATAAAATCATCATCAGAAAGTTCACAAACCAATGGAAGTAAAAAACCAGTGGTACCGTCAATGAAAAGTTCAGGTTCTGTTACAAATCTGATTGAAAAGAAAGGGAAATTACCAGCTCAACAATCTATGCAATTGAAAGGTTTATTTGCTAACTATTCTAAATATATTGATATCAAATCAGGTTCATTGAACTTCAAAGGTAAATTATCATTAGATTCTAAAGGTGTTGATTTCAGTTCCGGTTCATCTTTTAGAATTTCTAGTGATGAATTAGAATTTATTGAAGAATTAGGTCGTGGTAATTATGGTACAGTTACAAAAGTTTTACATAAACCAACTGGTATTACTATGGCTATGAAAGAAGTTCGTTTAGAATTGGATGAAGGAAAATTTAGACAAATTTTGATGGAATTAGAAGTTTTACATAAATGTAACAGTCCTTTCATTGTGGATTTTTATGGTGCCTTTTTCGTTGAAGGTGCAGTTTACATGTGTATGGAATATATGGATGGTGGTTCATTAGATAAAATTTATGGAAATGGTGTTGATGAATCCCATCTAGCTTATGTTACAGAATCTGTCATTAGAGGTTTAATGGAATTAAAAGATAACCATAATATTATACATAGAGATGTTAAACCAACAAATATATTGGTGAGCAGCTCAGGTAAAGTTAAACTTTGTGATTTTGGTGTTTCAGGTAATTTAGTTGCTTCATTAGCCAAAACAAACATTGGTTGTCAATCATATATGGCACCAGAAAGAATTAAATCATTAAGTCCTGATGATAACACATACTCAGTTCAATCTGATATTTGGTCATTAGGTTTAACAATGTTGGAAACTGCAAAAGGTTCATATCCATATCCTCCTGAAACTTATGATAATATTTTCAGTCAGTTGAGTGCCATTGTTGATGGTGAACCTCCAGCATTACCAGAAGACTACTCATCAAACGCAAAAGATTTTGTTGGTCAATGTCTTGCTAAGAATCCAAATAGAAGACCAACTTATACAAAATTATTACAACATCCTTGGTTAGTGAAATATAGAAACATTGATGTCCAAATGGGTATTTATATTTCAAGTAAATTGAGAGAAAATTCTTCAAATAAAGCCAAAAATGATGAAGCTAATATTGAAGAATTAAACCAAAGACTGAAAACACCTGCATTGCATAGAGGTGGTGCTCCACAAAGGAATTAAAATAAATCAAATAACATCGAATAACCAATGATCGATTGATGATTTTTATTTTTATTTTCAGCTTCACGTTAACGAATTTTGATGCCAATTTATATTATACTTTTTTTTTTTTGAATTTTCTTCTTTGTTTTCTTATTACTTTATTATTTTCTAATCCAGATTAAATATTTGAATTTATTGGATTTTCATGTTTTGATTATTTTAAAATGATTGACATGAAATCTTGTCATGATAGATATACATATATAAATTATATTCTTATTTATGAACTTCCATCAGTCAATAAGTTATCAGTGCATTATACTAATGTAGATCTTACAAATTGATTATTGTACTATAGAGAACGTACTTTTTTATATGTTGTATCTCATGATGTAAAACGTGTGAATTAAACATATATGCAAAAACTAAATCTATATATAATAAACCTATAAAAATGAAAACAAACTTAAAACGATCTTCAAAATATATTCAAAACTTAAAAAACAAATATGACTTAAATTAAAATGTAACATTAGAGTTTCTTCTTGGACCTAAATCTGTTGCTTCATCACCCCCAAATGTCTCTGATCTAGTAACACTATAATCTCTTTGATCAATACCATCATCTAGATTACCTTGGTCGACATCATTATGATTTTCCCTATTTAAATGCGCATAATCTAAATCGTTCAATTCATGAGATTCTTGGTTATATTCATGATTATTAATAGGTTTATTACCAAAATGAACATCTTTGAATCCAATATGATTATCATTATTAACAATATTATTAGAGTTGATATTGTTATCATTTTGATTATCAGCTAGACTAAATTGAACTGGTTGAGGTGGATTTTGATTAGATCCTGAAACATAGCTATTTCCTCTTGTATTAGTTCTGAATGGCTGTGAGCTACTACCACTCAAAAATGAAGGTCTTTTAAAACGATTCTTAAGAATATTTGGTGTAGCATTTTTGAAAAATGTAACAACAGGGTCTCCCATACTACCAATAGTTTCAGCCCTTTGTAAATGATTACCAGCATGTAAATCTTGATATCTATCTCTAATTTCCATTTTTTCTGATGGTAACATAATAGCACGATCTAATGAATATGGTAAACCTCTATGTCTTCCTCTAATCATCATTGCAATAATAACAAGTTTGGAAATAACACCAAATTGTCCAGAAAAAGATGGTGTTGTACCTGGATAGCCTAATGACAATCCCACAGTACCATATGCACTAACAACTTCAAATAAAACTGAGAAAACATTAAAATCTGGTAATGAATCATCTTGTATTTTCCCACCTTCAGCAATACAAATAATGAAAAGACCCATGAAAACAAACCATAAATCAAATGAAAGTTGTTTTCTTAAATGTGCACCAATGAATTGAGTTGCCTTTTGTTGATCTTCATCATTATTTTCATTATTACCTGCATAAACACCTAATGATTGTTCTTCATAAACATTTGTTCTTCTAATAGAAATAGCTAATGGTAAAACAGAAATATACATCATAACCATATAACTAACTTGAACACCAGGATGTAATTGTGATAAATCAATACATGCAAAACCAGCAGTTCTAGTACTTATAGCTTGATAAAACCCATTTAAGATACGGATATTTACAGGTAGTGCTTTAACAACAGCAGCATTCAAATCCAAAATAACAAACAAGATTAAATCCACGGCATTCATAACAACCAAAATGAATAATAACCACCAAGTTGGAGCAGAAGGGAATAAAAGTGTAAAACAACGACGAGGATGATCTAATAAAAAGCCTAAAGATTCTTTAAACAATGATAAATCTCTTGCAAATTTAAAACAAACCCAAATTATAAAACGTAATAAGATTGGAAACCCAGTATTACCAATAACAATTAAAACAGCAGAAACTAATAAAGTATAAATTGAAGTATTGAATGAGTTCATACTATCTGGTGTTAATGTAAATCCTAAATCATTAAAGGAGGACATTGAAGTGAAGAACCCCCACCAAGTTAACGTGACACCACTTTCTCTAATATGTGATTGATAAGAATTTTTAGTTACAACCCAAGGAACTAAAAATAAAAATCCCAAAATATGAAATCCAACATAATAAAATAATAAAATTTTAGCTAATAATTTAATAGCTCTATATTCAACACCACCTAATTCTTCCTTTTGTTCTTCTGAAAGGTTAACAAAAGTAGAATTTCTACCAATTTTTGGGTTCCATGAAAGATAATTTGTAGTCATATTTCTAATTAATGAATTATCATCAAAATCATCATCTGTTTCAGTATCAGATCCTGAAGAGTCCATTGTGTCATCAGTAATTGCAGAACTAGAAAATCTTCTTCTACCTAAAATTGGTTTTTTCAATTTTTGTTTAATCATTTTTTCAAAAGTTGGAGATTTTGATAATAATGAATGTTTATTTGATGTAACATCTAATGTATTTGATCTTTTATTAAATTTTGAACCACCTGTTTGATCAGATGAAGGTAATTGTAAATTTGATTGAGCTTTTTTCAAACGATGTTCTTCATCATTTGAAGCATCGGATAAATAATCGTTATCCAGTACAGAATCAATATCTCTTTCATTACTGTGACTTGAAGCATTTGAATGTGATCTTTGATGATGACCAAATTTAAAAGCATTAAAACTTGATCTATGATGATGATTATTAGATTTTTTCAAATGTTTCTTTCTTTCATGTTTTGGTTTTTTCAAATCAAATTGAATTGCAGAAGTTGAATTTTGTCTAATTGGAGGTTCTCTTTCAGCAGGTCCACCAATCACAAGAGCAGGACCTTCATGTTCATCATCATGAGTTTCTCTTTTTTGATTATTACTCAACATTGCAATTGACATGAAAACATCTCTTGGTTCAACATCATGATTTCTTGGATTTGGTAAATCACCAAATTTAATATTTGGAGATGATTTTGTATGACTTATATCAACTTCATCATTAAGATCATCATCAACTCTATGAGGATTTATTGATCTTGATTCTGGAGGTAAATGGTTATTTTCATGATCATCATCAGAACTAGGTTCAGATATATGTTCAACAGAGTTATTATAACTACTCTGTTGCATTGGCATTGGTGATGGACTTGAAACTCTAGGAGGTGATTGAGTTTGATTGACAGCTGGAGTTGATTGTGTTAATGGGATTGGGTTTGTATTAACCATTTCTGAGGAACTTGTATCAGAATCTTTAACTTCTGGATATTCACCTGTTTGTTCAATATCTGGTGAATTTTCAAAAACAGTTCTAGAACTATAACCTGTCAATGGTATATTATTATTATTGTTATTATTATTTGTTGTTGTTTTACTTAAATTTCTTGATCTATTGTTCCCTGGAGTTCTAGATCTTTGAGATTCTGCAGTTTTAGCACGTTCCATTGATTGAGTTCTAGCCATCATTGTAGCAGTTCTTCTCATTTTGAAATTATGTTTTGAAGTTTCTCTAATATCATCAAAATAACGTTCAAACCAATAAAGTCTTAAAAAACTTAATGAACCATGAATGAAAATTGGAGTTGCTAAGCAGCAAAATATATAAATAATAATTTGTTGATATAAAGTCAAGACGTTTGCATCTAAAGTGTTTAGACCAGCTTGAGTAGCAGCACCAGATGCAAAGAATAAAGCATCAATATAATGAATATTTTTAACAGGATAAATAAAGATTGAACCCAGTATTGCTATTGAAATGATGTAAAAATAATGAACTGCAATGAATGAAGGAAAGATTTTCTTAAGATAAGGACCAAATAGATCTTCTAAAGAAGCAACTGCATCTCTTATTTTCCAGCCCCAAGTTTTCTTTGTTATGAAGTTGATTGAACCTATAGACCTTCTTCTATTAGGATTAATGTTATTACCATGATCTTGATCTTGATCTTGATTATTAGAAGTTTTGGTAGGTCGTACCAATTTCATGATATTGAATCCAGCCATTTTGGGTTATAGTTTAGTGGAAGTAGCAGCAGCAGCAGCAGTACGAACAATAGCAGCAGTACTAACGATGAAGTTAACCCCTGATTCCTTGGAAAGCTGGATAATGAATAAATGAGCAAATGCTATATAAGCGATCTTTTAACGGACAGTCCCATACAGTAAACCAAGTGGAATAAAGCCCAATAAGCAGCGGTCAACTTGGGAAATGATTCTCACAAGCACCCAGTCAATGAGCCAGCACACAGACCTTTTGAACAACCTAAGAAAGCACCTTTCAGTCACCAAAACCTGCTTAGCGCTTCGAATATCCAGTCAATTTCTACTTGTTAAAGCCTTTCAAAAACAAAAACGTTTAAATTAATTTTGAAGCCGCCAAAACAAAAACAAGAAAATTCGCGGACTTTTAATTGAAATTTTTTTTATGTCACAATTTTTGGGAAAAGTTTAAAGCTGGAAAATTATGTGATATCATGAAAAAGCTCAAATTAAACGATACAATCTATTTACTCGGTTATCCATGGGTGACGAGAACAGTGTAGTGAGTCTATGGTGGTCGAATTGTTGTAGAGTTTACTTTGCCATTGGTGACTTTCTGCTCTCTGCGTACCTGATTACTGATCACAGAGTCAACAATTGTACCGCTTTTCACTGGTCAGAAGACCAGCTTGAACCAGCTTGAGCCTTGCGTTTCTCTGTAGCGAGGAGCTGTCATACCCAAATGGAAATACGAACACTGACTCTATCAAGTATCTGATCTAGTATTACTCATAGTTCATTCATAATCTATTACCACCATTGTAGCACACAATTCTCAATGAAGAACTATCGAACAAGACTACGAATTCAAATCAAAGTGAAGCCCTTAAAACTTCAACAGACCTCAAACAAAATAATAAATGTATTACCAGCAGATCCATTATGATTCATCAATCAAATTTGAACTGTTTTACACTGATTTTGCTCTTCATTTGACTTCGATTATGACAAATTTATGCAAAAGTTCATGCAAATTTGATGAAACAATCCAAAGCAGCACAGATTGGCGTAGAATTTTGCGTAATTGGCGTGAAAATTTTGACATAATCAAGTTTCCATCAGGGTTGAACAAGATCAAATGAACCTTGATTTGAGTGGTTAAAACACCATTGAAACACAATTTTGATACACTAACTTAATCTAACGTATATAAACTTACCTACACTCAATTTATTCTCCAAAATCACCAGGATTAACTACTTATAAACCATTAAATATTCCGGCTTTTACGTCATGTCTCTTCGTATTACCCTATTGCATTTGACGCGAAAACTCGAATTGCGCAAAAATTAATTTTTCAGAAAATTTTTTTCGTTTCTTTTCAGTATAAAAAAATTTTAAAATCACCATTTTTAAACAACTAATAAACTTTACTTTCATATTCTTTCTCTCTCTCTTCTTCTCCTTCTCTCTCTCTTTCTCTCTCTCAGAAAGCTCCTTTTTCAAATCTTCTTGGTTTCTCCATTCTAGAACTAGAACTCTCTTGAATTGAAAAGTCTCCAGAGCTATATTGTCACCAGTTTAATCAAAAAAGTACAATTTCTACTCCAGATCTTGCAAGGTTATTAATTTTTTTTTTCAATTACAAAATAGAATCAAGTCTCCAGATTCTATAATTAAGAAAAGAAAATCAATCAATCACTTCTGATAATAAAGTTCATTTGATTTAAGAGTTTCAAGAAAAAAGTTTCTTTGGTAAGTTTTGTTGATGGGTCTTATGACTAGGAATATAGATTTGAAATAAGATGCGAGTATGAGAGAGAAAGAGATTTATAATCTTTTAAATCCAATTGGGCTTCAAACATGATTTATGGGAATTCAATTGATACCAATTGATCAATTGTCATGCTGTTTGATGCAAAACGAACTAGTGGCAACAATTGTTGGAGTTGATCCCCAGATTTTTCATTCATCATGTTTGACCCATAACTCTAATATTCAAGTCTTTTTTCTAATCAATCTATATTCCTGTAGTATTAATACATTTTCTAACAATTTGATTAGATTCATATTCCAGTTAATTTTTTCTTTATTTCTATTCTTTTGAGAAATCATGGCTTCAATCGTCCCTTCTGCTCCAATTTCTCCTCCAATGGAGTCAACTGGTAACCGTTTAATGGCTTTAGAATTAAAAGATGGTACTGTCTTGGAAGGTTATTCCTTCGGTTCTGAAGTTGCATCTGCTGGTGAATTAGTTTTCCAAACTGGTATGGTTGGTTATCCAGAATCAATTACTGATCCTTCTTATGAAGGTCAAATTTTAGTCATCACTTATCCATTAGTTGGTAATTATGGTGTTCCAGATCGTGAATTAAAAGATGAAGATGTTCCACAAATTCCAAAATATTTTGAATCTTCAAAAATCCATATTTCTGGTTTAGTTGTTGCTCATTATACTGAAGAATTCTCTCATTTCTTAGCTAAATCTTCATTAGGTTCATGGTTAAAAGAACAAAACATCCCAGCTATCTATGGTGTTGATACTAGAGCTTTAACCAAACATTTAAGAACTTCTGGTTCAATGTTAGGTCGTATTGCTGTTCAATCTGATAAAGCTTCAGTTGAAGAAGCTGCTTCATTAAATTGGAAATCTCATTTTGAAATTCCTGAATGGGATGATCCAAATGTTAAAAATTTAGTTGCTAAAGTTTCAACTGATAAACCTGTTTTATATACTCCATCAACTGAAAATGCTATTAAAGGTCCAGATGGTAAAACTTTAAGAATCTTGGCTGTTGATGTTGGTATGAAATTCAATCAAATCCGTTGTTTTGTTAGACGTGGTGTTGAATTAAAAGTTGTCCCATGGGATCATGATATTTCATCTGAAGAGTATGATGGTTTATTCATTTCTAACGGTCCTGGTGATCCTTCAGTTATGGATTCCACTGTGGAACAATTGACCAAAGTTTTAGAATCCAAAAAGACTCCAGTTTTCGGTATTTGTCTTGGTCATCAATTATTAGCTAGAGCTTCAGGTGCTTCAACTATTAAATTAAAATTCGGTAACAGAGGTCATAACATTCCATGTACTTCAACCATTTCAGGTCGTTGTTATATTACTTCTCAAAATCATGGTTATGCTGTTGATACTACCACTTTGAAAAACGGTTGGAAAGAATTATTTGTCAATGCTAACGATGGTTCAAATGAAGGTATTTATCATTCAGAATTACCATATTTCTCTGTTCAATTCCATCCAGAATCTACCCCAGGTCCAAGAGATACTGAATTTTTATTTGATACTTTTATTCAATCTGTTTTAGATCATAAAACTTCCAAAACTTTGAAATCAGTTTCATTCCCAGGTGGTCAATTACAAGATAACTTGGCCAAATCACCAAGATTACACCCAAAGAAAGTTTTAGTCTTAGGTTCAGGTGGTTTATCAATTGGTCAAGCTGGTGAATTCGATTATTCAGGTTCTCAAGCTATTAAAGCTTTGAAAGAAGAAGGTATCTATACCATTTTGATTAATCCAAACATTGCTACTATTCAAACTTCAAAAGGTTTAGCTGATAAAGTTTATTTCTTACCAGTCACCCCAGATTTTGTTCGTAAAGTTATTAAACATGAAAAACCAGATGCTATTTATGCTACTTTTGGTGGTCAAACCGCTTTAAGTGTTGGTATTGCTTTGAAAGATGAATTTGAATCTTTAGGTGTTAAAGTCTTAGGTACTCCAATTGATACCGTTATTACTACTGAAGATCGTGAATTATTCGCTAGAGCAATGGATGAAATTGATGAAAAATGTGCTAAATCAGCTTCTGCTTCAACTGTTGATGAAGCTTTAGATGCAGTTAAAGATATTGGATTCCCAGTTATTGTTCGTGCTGCTTATGCCTTAGGTGGTTTAGGTTCAGGTTTCGCCAATAACAAAGAAGAATTAATTGATTTATGTAACAAGGCTTTTGCTGCTTCTCCACAAGTTTTAGTTGAAAGATCAATGAAAGGTTGGAAAGAAATTGAATATGAAGTTGTTCGTGATGCTTATGATAACTGTATCACAGTTTGTAATATGGAAAATTTTGATCCATTAGGTATTCATACTGGTGATTCTATTGTTGTTGCTCCATCTCAAACATTATCAGATGAAGATTATAACATGTTAAGAACAACTGCTGTTAATGTCATTAGACATTTAGGTGTTGTTGGTGAATGTAACATTCAATATGCTTTGAATCCAGAATCAAAAGAATACTGTATTATTGAAGTTAATGCTCGTTTATCACGTTCTTCAGCTTTAGCTTCAAAAGCAACTGGTTATCCATTAGCTTTCATTGCTGCTAAATTAGGTTTGAACATTCCATTAAATGAAGTTAAAAACTCTGTTACTAAAGTTACTTGTGCTTGTTTCGAACCATCATTAGATTATGTTGTTGTTAAAATTCCAAGATGGGATTTGAAAAAATTCACTAGAGTTTCAACTTTATTATCATCATCAATGAAATCTGTTGGTGAAGTTATGTCAATTGGTAGAACTTTTGAAGAAGCTATTCAAAAGGCTATTAGATCTGTTGATTACCAAAACTTAGGTTTCAATCAAACTGAAGCTTTGATGTCTATTGATATTGATTCAGAATTACAAACTCCATCTGATCAACGTTTATTCGCTATTGCTAATGCTTTATACTCCGGTTATTCAGTTCATAAAGTTTGGGAATTAACAAACATTGATAAATGGTTCTTGAATAAATTAAATTGTTTAATCAATTTCTCCAAACACATTGAATCATATGGTTCAATTGAAAAATTAACTGCTTTAGTTATTCGTGAAGCTAAACAATTAGGTTTTGAAGATAGACAAATTGCTAAATTTGTTGGTTCTAATGAATTAGCTGTTAGACGTGTTAGAAAAGAATTTGGTATCACTCCATTTGTTAAACAAATTGATACTGTTGCTGCTGAATTCCCAGCTTTCACCAACTACTTATACATCACTTATAATGCTGATTCTCATGATGTTAAATTTGATGATCATGGTGTTATGGTTCTTGGTTCAGGTGTTTACCGTATTGGTTCTTCAGTTGAATTCGATTGGTGTGCTGTTACAGCCGTTAGAACTTTACGTGCTCAAGGTACTAAAACCATTATGATTAACTACAATCCAGAAACTGTTTCAACAGATTATGATGAAGCTGATAGATTATACTTTGAAACCATCAACTTAGAACGTATCTTGGATATCTATGAATTAGAAGAATCTTCAGGTGTTGTTATTTCTATGGGTGGTCAAACCTCAAACAACATTGCTTTACCATTGCACAGAAACAATGTTAAAATCTTAGGTACTTCACCAGAAATGATTGATTCAGCTGAAAATCGTTACAAATTCTCTCGTATGTTGGATCGTATTGGTGTTGATCAACCAGCTTGGAAGGAATTGACTTCTATTGATGAAGCTGAATCTTTTGCTGATAATGTTGGTTATCCAGTTTTGGTTCGTCCATCTTATGTCTTATCAGGTGCTGCTATGAACACTGTCTATACTAAAGATGATTTAGCTTCATACTTGAACCAAGCTGTTGAAGTTTCACGTGAATATCCAGTTGTTATCACCAAATATATTGAAAATGCTAAAGAAATTGAAATGGATGCTGTTGCTAAAGATGGTAACTTGATCATGCATGTTGTTTCTGAACATGTTGAAAATGCTGGTGTCCATTCAGGTGATGCTACTTTAATTGTTCCACCACAAGATTTAGATAAGGAAACTGTTAAACGTATTGTTGTTGCTACTGCTAAGATTGGTCAAGCTTTGAACATCACTGGTCCTTACAACATTCAATTCATCGCTAAAAACAATGAAATCAAAGTTATTGAATGTAATGTTCGTGCTTCTCGTTCATTCCCATTTATTTCTAAGGTTGTTGGTACCAACTTGATTGAAATGGCCACCAAAGCTATTATGGGTTTCCCAGTTGATCCTTATCCATTAGAAAAATTACCAGAAGATTACTGTGGTGTTAAAGTTCCTCAATTCTCTTTCCCACGTTTAGCCGGTGCTGATCCAATCTTAGGTGTTGAAATGGCTTCTACTGGTGAAGTTGCTACTTTTGGTCACAACAAATATGAAGCTTATTTGAAATCTTTAATTTCAACTGGTTTCCATTTACCAAAGAAAAACATTTTGTTATCTATTGGTTCTTATAAAGAAAAAGTTGAATTATTACCATCAGTTAAAAAATTAAGTGAATTAGGTTACAACTTATTTGCTACTGCTGGTACTGCTGATTTCATTCAAGAACATGGTATCCCAGTTCAATACTTGGAAATCTTAGCTGATGCTGATGAACAAAGATCAGAATTCTCATTGACTCAACATTTAGCTAACAACTTGATTGATTTATACATCAATTTACCATCTGCTAACAGATACCGTCGTCCAGCTAACTATGTTTCAAAAGGTTACCAAACTCGTCGTATGGCTGTTGATTATTCTATTCCATTAGTTACTAATGTTAAGAATGCTAAATTATTGATTGAAGCTTTATCACGTAACTTATCATTAGAAGTTTCAAACATTGATGCACAAACTTCTCACAGAACTGTTTCAATTCCAGGTTTAGTTAACATTTCATCATTCATTCCATCATTTGAAACTTCAAAAGATTTTGAACAATCAACTAGTGCTTCATTAGTTTCAGGTTTCACTTACAACAATGTTTTACCAGTTACTTTAGATGGTATTAACGTTTCTGATGCTTCATCATTGAATGATACTGCTCAATTACTATCAGATTCTGGTTTCACTGATTACACTTTGTCTGTTGCTGCTACTAAAGGTAATGAATCTCAAGTTTCTCAAATTGCTAACAATGTCGGTTCATTATTCTTACCATTCAATGATTTCACCAACAGTACTGTTTCAGATGTTTCAGGTCACTTTGCTTCATGGCCAGAAAACAAACCAATCATCACTGATGCCAAATCTACTGATTTAGCTTCATTATTGTTATTAGCTTCATTAAACAACCGTAAAATCCATGTTACTGGTGTTCAATCAAAATCAGATTTAGAAATCATCAAATTGGTTAAAGAAAAATCTGAACATGTTACAGTTGATGTTAATATCTATTCATTATTTATTTCACAAGAAGATCATCCAGATGCTAAATTCTTACCAACTAAAGAAGATCAAGAAGCTTTATGGGCTGGTTTGAAAGATATTGATGCCTTTTCAGTTGGTACTTTACCATATGTTTTAGCTAAATTCTTGGGTAAACCTGTCACTGCTGGTTTAGGTATTACTGATGCTTTACCATTATTATTCTCAGCTGTTGACTCTGGTCGTTTGACTATTGAAGATATTGTTGAACGTTTACATACTAAACCAGTTCAAATTTTCAACTTACCTGAACAAGATTCAGTTGTTGAATTAGACTTAGATCGTCTTGCTTCTACTTTACATTCAGCCAACATTTGGTCCCCATTTGAAGGTAAATTGAAAGGTGGAGTTGAACGTGTTCATTTACATGGTCAAACTGTTTGTTTGGAAGGTGAATTAGTTATCAACCAAGCTTTAGGTATTGATAACTCAGCTTACAAGAAGAGATTATCAGTTGTTCAAACTCCACAATTCAACAATGATGTTGCTTTAGCTCAAAGTCCTCAAGTCAGAAGAGCTAGATTCTCATTTAGTGCTGATGCTCAACCACGTCCATCAAACTTAACTGAAGAAGTTATTGTTGATGGTGAATCTAAAGGTACTGAATTGGTTTCATCTCGTCCACCAAGAGAACTTTCACCACCAGGTGCTATTGCTACTACTATCCGTGGTAACAATCCATTCTTACGTCGTTCAGTCTTATCTGTTAATGATTTCAAGCGTTCTGATTTCCATGCTTTATTCTCTGTTGCTCAAGAAATGAGATTATCAGTTGAAAGAAATGGTGTTTTAGATTTATTGAAAGGTCGTTTATTAACAACCTTGTTCTATGAACCATCCACTCGTACCTCAGCTTCATTTGATGCTGCTATGCAACGTTTAGGTGGTAGAACAGTCCCATTAGCAGTTGATTCATCATCAGTTAAAAAAGGTGAAACTTTACAAGATACTGTTCGTTCATTAGCTAGTTACTCAGATGCTATTGTTTTACGTCATCCAGAAGAATCAAGTGCTGCTGTTGCTTCTAAATACTCACCAGTTCCAATTTTGAATGCTGGTAATGGTTCTCGTGAACATCCAACTCAAGCATTCTTAGATTTATTCACTATTCGTGAAGAATTAGGTACTGTTAATGGTATTACTGTTACTTTCATGGGTGATTTGAAATATGGTCGTCCAGTTCATTCATTATGTCGTTTGTTGAGTCATTATCAAGTTCGTGTTAACTTGGTCTCACCAAAAGAATTAAAATTACCAGAATCATTACGTCAAGATTTGATTCAAGCTGGTATGTTAGGTAATGAATCTGAAGAATTAACTAAAGAAATCATTGCTGATTCTGATATCTTATACTGTACTAGAGTTCAAGAAGAAAGATTCAAAGATAAAGAACAATACTTAAGATTGAAAGATTCATACATTGTTGATAACAAAATTTTATCATATGCTAAACAACATATGGCTGTTATGCATCCATTACCTCGTGTTAATGAAATTCGTGAAGAAGTTGATTTCGATCAACGTGCTGCTTATTTCAGACAAATGAGATATGGTTTATATGTCCGTATGGCCTTATTAGCTATGGTTATTGGTGTTGATTTATAAAAAAAAGAACTAGAAGTTCATCATAAAAAAAAATAGAGTTTAATTTCTTTTCATATTATCATATTATTTGGTTTAGTTTGCCTTTTTAATCATTTTATTCAACTTATGAGTGACTGGAGACCACTCATTAATATATTGGAGAATTGTTTGTTGGCTATGGTTGATAGCTAAATTAAATCATTGACAGATGAATTTTTTTGAAGGTTATTAGATTTGCATTTCATTTTCGGTTTCATATTTAAGTATTAAAAAAAATTGTTTAGACTATTATTTTATCATGTTTATAGAATTTAAACCATGAGTAGAATGTATTACGCCTTCATTTATTAAACTCAATTTCGTTTGTTACGTGCCTTTTGTGTACGTAGCTTCATTTTATGTTTTCTGTTCATTGAGTTTGTTTATGTTTAGGTTGTATACGTTTATTTTGGTTTTATTTATTTATTTGTTTGTTTAGTGTGTATAGGGTATATATTTTGGTAGCTGGACGTATTCGTTCAAGCTGTACGTGTTTATGAGTTTGTTAATCTCATGATTTCATTATATGAATATGATCGTACCACTCTAGTGTAGTGATTAATATTGATTTCCTGAAGTTCAAGTAGTTCGCATGAAGATTCAGAGATACTTCGTATTACTACGTTCATATATATAAGTCATAATAATACGCTATAGATCAAAACTAGATCATATATTACTTACTATAGTAATTAACAAAATAAAAGTTGTGTGTATAAAATTGTAAACAGCAATATAATATTACAAACAGCTCCAAAACTCCTTTTCAATTCAAACTTAGATATATAATACAAATATTTTAGGTAAAAAAAAACAAACAAAACTTAAAACATGACAAAACTAACAAAACTAACTATATAAAAAAAATATGATAAAACACAGAATATGATGGGTAAGTAGCTATAGATTTCGAAAAATCAATTGAATAAGTCATTACCATCTGATTCTTGACCATTACCTGATTCATCAACACTTTCATTAGCTTGGATTAAAGCTTTTGCAATTTCAATTTCTTCACCATTTTGTCCATTATCATCAAATGCAGAAACTTCAGGATCAACAGGAATATCATCATTTTGTTGAACATTATCATTTTCATTATTATTTGAATTTGTATAATGATTCAAACCATTTTCGAATTGACGACTTTGTTGAGCATAGAAATTTTTATCACTATATTCCTTTGCCAAATTATCATCATTTTGTTGATCATGAGATTGTTGTTGTTGATGATGTTGTTGTTGATGATGGTGATGATGATTAGGTGTTAGATCATCCTGAGTATAATCATGTTGCATAACACCTCTTGATCTTTGAGCTGCTTCCACAGCAGCAAAAATACCTGATGGATCATCTAAATTGGTTAAATCAGCTTGTAACAAACTTGAATCAGTACGATGTAAATGTGATGATGCAGCTACAATAGCTTCAATATCTTGTTGGGTATGATCAATGTTATGGTGTTGTTGATGATGTTGTTGCTGTTGTTGATGGTGATGGTGTTGTTGTTGATGATGAAGTTGAGGATCTTCATCATGATCTGAAGTTTGAATATGATGAGGTGTACTTTTCAAACTACCATGATGAGATTCAACAGGTGATTGTTGATGATGCTGAGCATGTTGTTGCTGCTGTTGTTGTTGTTGAAGATGGTGGTTGTGTTGAGCTTGTTGCTGTTGAGCATGTTGTTGTTGAACTTGTTGCTGTTGCTGAGCTTGTTGTTGTAATTGTAATTTTTGACGTCTCTTATTATTAGCCACGTTAATATTTTCTCTTCTCTTCTTTGCAGCTAAAGATTTCATTGGATCTCTACATTCATCACAATTCCTTATAGCTTGAGCAACTGTATCTTTAATTCTTGTCCAATGATAACGGTCAGCAATTGCAGTAGTAGTCTTATTTATACCACCATGAGAAACAGCATGATATTGGGTACAAATTTGTAATTGTCTAATTGGATCTGGTATGACTTCTCTACCATTTAAAGTCAATTTACCATTGATTAATTTATAATGAGAAGCATTTGATCTTAATCTTGATTTTTCAGATCTATCAGTTAATGGGGGATATCTACCAGTTTCCAAATAATATTTAATTTTATCAAATCTATAAGTTCCCTGTGGATTTTCAGTTGGATGAACCAATTCTTTACCATAAATAATAGCATCAACTGCAACTTCATGATCTTTTAAAATACCAGCAGATTTAATTTTACCAATTCTTTTGAAATTTAAAGATTCAAAAATTCTTCTTGTTTGAACATTAGTTTCAAAAATTAAATTAAAAACAGCAGAAGTGAAACCAATTTTTGGAGCCCAATCTAAGAAACATTCAGTTAAAGTTTTACCAATACCTTTACCTCTAATCCCAGCATTAACTAAAAATCCACCAGTACAAATATGAGATGCACGACCTGGGAAATTAGCTTTTATGAAAAAAGTACCTAAACATTCTTTTTCCCATTGTCTTTGACGATCTAATTGAGGTTCATCACCAAGAACCATAACAGCAGCAAAAGCACCAAACCAATAATTTTTAAATTCTTCAATATCTAAAGTATCAAAAAATGGGAAAGTATCACCTCTTTCAATTTCCATATTAAATTCATCAGCTAAAAATGCTAATAAACCTTGTGGTAATTGAAAATTATTTGTAATTGGATAAATTGTAGCCGTGGTTTCACCATCCTTCAACAACACAGTATAAGGAGGTAATAAAACAGGGAAATGTTGATCAGGTCTATAATCTGTCATTTTTGCAATTCTCTCTCGTACGGAATAGTAATATTCAATTATTTATACCAAATAAAAACTTATAATGATTATGATAGCAGCAAACCACCTTTAAAGCACCCCTTTTGTAGCCCTTTTAATACCCCTTAATGAAATACTCAACCAATTTAAACTCAACCAGCAGCCTTCAACGCCAAATTTGAGATTTGTAGTACAAATCCTAAAATTATGCACGTTAAATACCCAAACCTAATGGCTTTTAAGTATTCTTTTTGATAATCTTTTGGGTTTCAACTCTTGAAGAAATGAATTTTGATGTTGTTGGATATGAATTGAGAAGGGAAAATTTTTTCTTTCCACAACGAGCCGATCCAATTTAAACCTTTCAACAAATCAATTACGTTGTTTACCTTTTAAATTTGTTTTCGATGCTAACGCGCAGTTCAAAAATTGGTATCAGATTTTCATTTTCAAGGGTAAAAAAAGGCATGATGGAAGAATTGGTAGACTTCCGAATGCGGTAATGAAAGTGTAGAATTGTGAGAATTGTAATATAACCATATAATAAATGTTTTGTACTCAACTCATTTATTTTGCAAATTACCATTTAAAGATTCAATTATTGACATTTGAATCACTGAACATTGAAGTACAACTTGATAGCACCATGACCAATGCACTGGAAGGGTTCCCTTATGATCTCTTGCAAAATGGTACTTTGCTTCAAGACACTATTCAGAGTATCAAACACTGCTTCGTGGATACCAACCTTTACAATTTCCAACTTCAAGAATTGTTCAGAATAAGACAAAAGGACAAGATTGATCCAACAAAAGATTACTACATTGATACTCACAATACCGAGGAGCTTTTGAAAGGTTTGTATTTGATCTTTTATTGTTAATGATTACTAGTGTAACTAACATTGTTTGACTAGCACTTAAAGAAATGGTGGATGTTTTCTGCTCAACAAGAACCAAAACGGATCTGGAGTTGGGAAATTTGGGTGATGAACTGAAATTGATTGGTGATGGTCAAATTCCAGAATATTTTTATGGAATGTGGTTTATTATAATCGATATTGATATATTAATAAAACATCTACCTTTAGAACCGGAAACTGTGAGGAAACCAAAAGGAAGTATCTCGAGATTCTCAAGAGATTTCAAATTGGTAGAGTTTCATCGAGTTGAGGAACTAACCAAAATAGATTTCAAAGCAAATATATTACAGTTTGATCATTTTGTTAAAACAATATTGAAGAAAAAGTTCAATTATGATACTTTAGTGGACTTTGTCAAAAGTGTATTAAATCAATATATACACCAGTTGGAGAATAATATCATAACTAGGTCCACCACAAACCCACCAACTGAACAATATCTAGAATTTTACTTTAAAAATAGTTTCACTGAACCAATTTTCTTCTTCTTTCGAAAATTATTATTAAACTGGGATGCTTCTTTTTCAATTGATAGTACAAGTTCTAAAAGCCTGGAAGGAGTTTTTCCAAAAGATCTTTATGAGAGTTTATCAAATGACTTTAAAACCTACCCAGAATTCTTAAGAAACAATGAAATTTTCACTGACACGTCAGTAGACGTTTCTGTCAATTTTAAATTAGGTGGTATTACTTATAAGTGTGGAGGAATACAGATCAAAGACAATCTCCTCTCTGCTAATATGACACCTGATGATAAATTCGTAAGGTTGAATGAACTTTTTACTCAAACCTTGCAATACCTCATTAGTAATGAGTTTACTTCATATATGATGAGTGATGCTACAAGTACACTGTTTTTCCAATTACCAAATAAAAATGGTCATTGGTCAAGTAATGAGAATGGGAAATCTGTGGAATTGGTAAAAGCTCCATTAAAATACATTAAATTTAATAGTACAGAACATAGACCTCAGGGATCAATATCTTTACAGGGTTTGATTTGCTTGCATATTTTTGAACATTTGAAGAACTTGGTACCAACTATTACATATCAAGGACTTGATTATGATGGATCAATTTATAAAAAAATACATGAATTTGATGATCTAAATTATGGTACTTTTATGGTTGAATTAATGGAAAATGGGGTTAAAATAAGATCCAGATATTCAAACAAACCAAGACTACATTCGAGCTCTGATATCAATCAGATCACAGGTCCACCTAGCAAAAGAACAAGATCAGGTAAGCTTTATTCTACAGATCAATATGAAACAAAAGATGATGATTTTGAATACAACATCAAGGAGTCTGATAACACTTTTTATATTGAAGATGTATTCAAATTACAAGTTGATCTCATAGTTAAACAATATAAAGTTTTATCTCAATTCTCAAATGGGGTCTGTCTGAAAATAATTTTATCATCAAAGGATTGTTTTGAAACATTTGAACCAAGAAAACAGTTTAATATGACAGGTATTAAGTTTAATACCAACGTATTTTGTAAAATTTATGATCTTTATCAATCAAAAAGATTATATGATCTTGTTACAGGCTATGGTTATGATATACTTGCAAGTTGTGAATGTATGGGTGAATACGATGAGTCAGAATTAAATATTTTGGCATCTTTGGAAGATATGAATATTTATCCATTTTTTTTAAATACAATTAAGCAAAGTTTTGTTAGAGAATTTATAGCGTTCAAAAGAATTGAGGAATGGAATTTAAACCATGATGAAGAAGATCAAATCAAAACTGCAAAAGTATTACAATATGGATGGTTTGATGATCTAACTCTTGAAGGTAAATATTCATTATATGGTCCTTTTTTATTGTTTGAGAAACTTGAATTTATGAATGATAACAAGATTAATAATAGCAAAAGGTCAAAGAATTACGATAAACAAATTGAGTTATTAGAGCTAGCTGGTATCAAGCATAATGATTTAGAAAAGCATGACTTAAATTATTGTTTTAATAATAAAGATGAATGTTTTATTGTGGATTTTGGTAGTTCTTCAGTTGATAATGATGAAATTTTGAATAAATTTGATCTAGATGAATTTCATCCTGATGATTGAAATCAATGCGATCTATGTATATTTATAAGTATTAATAATATATTTAATTTGTATATTATTTATTAATTTATGCCAATCTCTTACCAAATTGAATAGCATCAACAGGTTCATCATAACCTTTAAGATCTGCAGCTTTTGGTACTAATCCAATACGATCAAATCCTAAAGAATCCCATATCTTCACACTAGCAACATTTGTAACAAACACCAAATTGAAAACAGAATATGTATATCCTAGTACTGGAGCCCAATCAAGATATGTTTTACCCAAAGCTTTACCTACCCCCTTACCTCTTGAGTTAGTACTAACAAGGAATCCAGCATTACAATTATGAGAACAACGACCCGCGTAATTTGGTTTAATGTAATAAGTACCCAAATATAATTCATCCCAATTTGTTGATTCATCACCAAGACCTGGATTTTCACCTTTTAACATGATGGCAACAAAAGCTTGAAACCAAGATTCTTTAAATTCTTCAGATGATTGTTGATGATAATATGGGTAAGTTTGACCTCTATCTAATTCTTCATTAAATTCTTTATGTAAATAATTGAATAAAGATTGAGGAATTTTTTCTACTGAATTTATAGGATAAACAGTAGCTTTAGTTCCATCTCTTAATGTAACGATTTTTGGTTCTGTTACTTTACCTAATGGTTTGCGTAATAATGGTCCTGATCCCGTACCTACCATAATGAATTATAGAACAAAGATTTATTTGAAAAGAATAATTGAATAGGATTTGTATGATGTCAAGAGATGATGAGTTGATGGTTTTAAAGTGTTGGTTAATGGTTTCAAATGAGTCAAAAGTCTTATCACTTTCTCGAGATTTTTCGTTGAATTATCAAAGTTTCCCAATTTGTCGATTGATCCGAAGGGTATAAAACATTTGAATCTGAACATTTGAGTTCAAGGATTGAATTTTAATAAATAAGAAGTCTATGAACTATTGGTAAAACTGCTGTATATTTGGTTTATATTCTTCTTGATCAATTTCAAAATATATGAAAAGTTCTACTGTTTTAGGGTATACAACCGATAAAGAAATCAGTACCGGCCATAATTATTCATCAAAATCCACAATCTTTTTGACTTAATTGATAAGAGCTAGATCACAATTCATCAATATTCAGATCAAATATTATCAATTGGAAAGAATCAGTTCTTAAATCAACACATCATTACATAAAACAACATGGTTCTCGTTGCAGCTGGTCAATTGAACTCTTCATCATCCCTTATTGAGAATGGACAAACTGTGGTTAAATTAATCTCCAAAGCTGTTGAATTAGGTATCAAGATCTTGTTTTTACCAGAAGCATCAGATTATTTAGCTAAAAATGCATCACATTCCAAAAAATTAGTTAAATCAATTGATGAATCACCATTTGTCCTTGAAATTCAAAAAAAATTACAAGATTTACATTCAAAAGGTATATTCATTAATATTAATGTTGGTATTCATGAACCAAGTCCAAATAGTGATAGAACTCAAAATACAAGTATTTGGTTTAATGAAAAGGGTGAAATTACTCAAAGATATCAAAAAATTCATTTATTTGATGTTGATGTTGCAAATGGTCCAATTTTAAGAGAAAGTGAAAGTGTTGAACCAGGTTCTCAAGTATTACCACCATTTGATACAATTGCAGGTAAAGTCGCTTTAGGGATTTGTTATGATATTAGATTCCCAGAATTAGCATTAAGACAACGTTCATTAGGTGCACAAATCTTAACATTTCCAAGTGCATTCACTGTTAGAACCGGAGCTGCACATTGGCATTTATTAGGTAGATCAAGAGCAATTGATACACAAAGTTATGTTATAATGGCTGCACAATCAGGTCCTCATAATACACCAGACGAGGAAGATTTAGCTAATGGTACTGACTTTAAACCAACAAGAATTAGTTATGGACATAGTTTAATTATTGATCCTTGGGGTACTATAATTGCAGAAACTAGTGATATTGATGTTGGTAAAACTGCATTAGCTATAGCCGATATTGATTTAGATCAATTAGAAATTGTTCGTAAGAATATGCCATTATGGTCACAAAGAAGATCTGATGTTTTCGGTTATGATGTGTAATTATTGTATAATGATTATAAATATGAAGATCTGAATTTTGTAATTATTTGTAATAAATAGTATGGTGTGCACAGTAATCATTTGTAATGTATGGAGCACACCGGGAGCAACACTTATATAAACAAATTGAAAATATATAAAATACACATTTAATCCTTGAATAATATATAGAAATATCCTATTTATCGTCTACTATTATATCTATTGACTCAATTGGCTTTAAATCATGACTAAAAACATTGGAATCATCATCTACTCGTTATACGGACATATTGGTAAATTAGCAGAAACTGCTAAAACAGGGATTGAAAGTGTTGGATCCAAAGCTGATATTTATCAAGTTCAAGAAACTTTACCACAAAATATATTGGATATTTTGAAAGCACGGCCACCAAAACCATCTTATCCAATCGCAAATAATGAAACTTTAACCAAATATGATGCGTTTTTATTTGGAATTCCAACAAGATATGGTAATATGCCATCACAATGGAAAAGTTTTTGGGATGGTACAGGTGGATTATGGGCTAAATCTTCATTACAAGGTAAAGCTGCTGGATTATTTGTCTCTACAGGGACACCAGGTGGTGGTCAAGAAGTTACTGCTTTGAATTATTTGTCAACTTTAACTCATCATGGTATTATTTATGTCCCATTGGGTTATGGTAAAGCATTCCCACTCTTGACAAATTTAGATGAGGTTCATGGTGGTTCTCCTTGGGGTGCTGGTACATATGCTGGTGGTGATGGTAGTCGTCAACCTACAAAGCTTGAATTAGAAATTGCCCATCATCAAGGTGCTCAATTTGCTGAACAAGTGAAGAAGTTGTGATCTTGATCACAATTATTTATACAATTATATATACAAAGTCTATCAATATACAAGATATCAGAATATAAATTACACCATTGAGTAGCCACGAGCTCATATTTCATAACACCATCTACCAAATAACATTCCCTTTCATAAACCAGTAGATAAGCCCTAATCAAACAGTTTCTCCACTGTGTATCCCACATCCCACGCGATAAGAATTGTTTGACACTTGCATCGTGACAGCAAAAAAGCAAATTTAAAGAGGCAAAATAGGAATCAACATTTCATCAACAACAAACTCATTTTAATAACAAGGAAACCCAATTACGTTAACAATGTCCATGTTCAAGACCCTTCAGAATAATCCAGGTGTCATCACTTTCTTCAACAATTCTCAATCACCAATCTCTAAATCTTTATTATCAAAATTACAAAAATCTGTTAAACCATATCATGTTAAGAAAGATCCAGATGGTAAACAAGGTATATTTGATAAATTTTTAAATGGACATGCTGATTCTGAAAGTAAAACTCCTAGAGCAAAATATAACATTGAATTAGTTGAAGCAGGATTCCCGACTTATGATCAATTGAAGATTATTAGATCATTTGTTAAAACTCATCCAAGTTCAAAAGCAACATTTACTCAAGTTTTCCCAAAATTTATAAGAGAATCATCACCATCAAGTGGTGGTAATGGTGGTAATAAGTTTAATGCTAATGATATTGAGATTCCAGATGAACAAGATACAATTGAATTGATTAATAAAGATTTTGATGAATTATTACAAAATGATTGGTTTAAACCTCCATTAATTATTGATTGGGATAATCAATTGATTGCAAATAATGAATCTTCATTGGATCGTATCTTGAAACATTATAGTGCAGAAAATCATTCAAATGGTGATTAAACCAATAGTATTCTTAATGTTTTTTACTACATATTCTAACCATACTGGCGTTTAAATTATTTATTTATTAATATACTATAGAAATTGATTTATTAAACATAGCGCTAATAGTTGTAACCTCTTTAATCATAACCCATTCTCTTAACAACATAACTTTGAGCCAAAATACCAAAACTTAATGATAATCCATCATCAATCCAATCTTTAACCCATTCTGATGGATCAATTTCTTCATCATCATCTTTTGGTTCTTTTGATTGTTTTGATTCATCATCATCATCTTGACTTATTGAACCATCAATCCAATGAGCCCATTTGATTGGGAATGGTTGTGATCTTGTAATTATTGAAATATCATGTGTAATATCTTTTAAAATTAAAGTAAATGAAAAACTTTCATTTGATTGATTATCAATTGATATAATTGAATCATCTTCTGAATTTGATTTATTATTTGATGAACGAATTGGTAAAATTGAAATAAATAAATTTGAAGATCTTTTGGAATCTTCTTCATCTTTATTCTCTGAATTTTTAGTTACTTTTTCAAATTCTTTTATTGAATTATTTAAATTTGCAAAAATTAATTTTTCTCCATCAATAATTTTACCTTCAAATAAATTTAAATGTCTCTTATTATGATTAATTTGATTTGATGATGATGAGATATGATTTTCAATTATTTCAATTTTAATACCACCTTGAACTTGTTTAATAACTTTTTTAAAATTTTTTGTTAATAATCCATTTAATGAATTAAAATTTTCTAAATCATGAATTAAATTAATTTTTAAAATTTCATCAGTTTGTACTATTGAATTTAAAACATTTGAAAGGTTTTTAGTTAAAAATCCAAAAGCTCTTGATGGATCAGGTAATGAAATTTCTTCATTATTTATAAATTTTCTCTTGGTTTCTTCATCAATTTGTAAATTTTTAATTGATTCAACATCTATATTATTTTCTTTGGCAAATTTTGTTGCTTCTTCAGAAGCTCTTGATGCAAAATTATTTGCTTGTTGAGTTGCATTTGACCAAAATGAATTAACAGTTGCTGAACCACTTGATGACCACCAATTTGAAATTGAAGTGATTGGATCATTTAATTCTGGTAATGGTTGATTAACATCATTATCTTGTGTTTCATTTGATTGATTTGTATCTTTATTAACATCTTTTGATTCGATATCATCAACTTCTTTTGATTGTTTTGGTTCTTCTTTTGATTCCTCTTTTGCAACTTCCTTTGATTTTTCCTTTGATTGTTCCTTTGATTGTTTTGGCTCAGCTTTCTTCCCCCTCTTATCATTAGCTTCTAATTCATCTAAAAAATTCAAGATATCAGTATCATCACCTTTTGATTGTTTATCTTTTAAATCTTTTAATTTTGATTGATCAGTTTCTGGTAATGAAGCTAAAAATTCTAAAACATCTTCAGCTTCAGTTGATTTCTTTGGTGTGTCAGTCATAATGTATGTCAACAATTCAAAACAGATAGATTAACCAATTGATATATAGTTAAAATAGATATACGATATAATTTATCCAAAAGCTGCTAATTAAATTATTATTTGTCAATATTAATTCCATAGAATTTACCATCCAAACACCAAAACATAGTCTCGTGATAGCCTCGCAAGTCCCGTTTAGACCCTCTAGTCTCCTTTAGACCCAACAAGCAAAGACTAGCTCATTTGATGTTGATTACATAATTTCTTATTAATAAACATAAGCAAAAAATTAATTTAAGTATATATTAGTATAACATGTATAAAGATCCTATAAATTAGCCAAATAAAAGTGATAAATATTAATAAAAAGTTAAAAGTTAAGTATAAAAATTGAGAGTTGAAATAAAAGATTCACCAAAAAATTGTTTAAATATTATAAATAAAAGTGTTAAAGAGAAACATGATAATCATCATGTATATAAAATTGAATAATTGAAAAAAGAGAATTGAATTGATAAACATAGCCAGATGTTGAATATAATATAATAAATAGATGAAGCCTAATCATGCACCAACTGATACTTCACCATTTGTAGTTGGAATATTCCCATTAATTTGTGAAGAATTTGATCCTTGTGAAGTACTAGAACTAGCACCATTTCCATTTCCATTTCCATTAATTTTTGAAGAAGTTTCATTTGGTTTTAAACCTAAATTTGATAAAGTTTTATTTGAAATTTCTAAAGAAGTATTTGCTAAAGCTTTTGGAATATTTTGATCAGATTTTGATAAATTTTCATTAAATAATTTTGAAATTTTTGTTGGATAATTTTTAATTGAATTAAATTTATTTTCAATTAATTTTTTAGATCTATCAAAAGTTTCATGAGTTAAATTATATGATTTATTTAATTCTGAATTATTAATTGGTTGTTCTGGGATGATTGATTCAACAGTTTTTGGTAAAAATTGATCATTTAATTTTGACCAATTTGAATTAATTGGTTTTAAAACTGAATTTGTATTTTCTTCCACAACTGGTTTAACCTTGGATCTAATTTCCTTATATTTATTTAAAATAAATTTATAAATATTATCAGCAAGAACCCATGGATATAAATCTTTTAAATGGGTTGATTTAACTAATGGGATATAATGATCTAAATTTGACAAGATATAAATATCAACAATTCCATCAATATAGTCTAAACCATCAACAATGAATTTAAAATATTGTTCCAAGACACCTTTCTTGAAATCATAAATCAATTTACTAAATAAAGTGGCAAAATAGTTGAATATAAAAATTGACAAGATATAATCATCAATTTCTTTTATGATTGGATAATTGTAAATATGAGTTAAGACTTTGGATTCTTTACGTAACTTAGTGATATAATTATCATTAACGATTTTTTGAATTGATTCAGACATCTTTATTGTTTTTTTATTGTTTTGAATTCTATTGTTTCTATTGTTCTAATAACTGATAAGATAATGACACACTTTAAAAGATCAACACCTAGCCTTCTAAAGTAAACTGATAAATTCCCTGAATAACCTGAACTTTCCCACAATTAACAACCTTTCTAAACAATCACCAGTATTAATTGTAACAATAAAGCTTCTATTTATAAACCAATATTAATTGAATATGGTGGAAAACGTGAAAATTATCCCTTTTAAATTTTGAATTTTCCCTTTTCTCCTTAAAACAAACAATTGAAAAAAATTAAAGGTAATTATCCTAAAAGGGAAGGTGTCCTAAATAGGAAGTTGATATATAATATCAAATAAAAAAATTAATTAATACTCATTATCAAATTATCAAATTATTGTACAATCATGTTATCACAAATAATGGGACGCCAATGAATAATAAGCAGGTTATGGATTTGATATTGTATACAATAATGGTGAAGTTTCATTTTAATTAATTTGGTAGAGCTTCAACTACAGAGATAACTGTTTTGAAACACAGTCTTACAAGTGGTCAACTAGTGGTATATTGCATCAGGAATTGATAACCATGAAGTTACCACGGATATTTTGCTAGACTTACAACTTGATTATAATATATTCAGGCTGGGTGTACTGAGAACATTATCATTGATCACCAAAGTCCAAGGTTAACTGATATGAGAAGTTTATTATAATATTGAGAATTTTTTAAAGGTCATGGTCCTAGGCTATTTATATGTTTTATAAAACATTGAAAATGAAAACTCTTGAATATTGAAGGAAAAAGCTTGATTCCACATATAACATCTTGCTTACCATCATCATCATGTTTTTTAAAAAATCAGGGTATAGAATTAATATTAATGTCAAAAGCTATGAAAACCCTAAAATATTTGGAAGACTTCGACGTGAACCCAATAATTTATTAATTGCCAAAACACCAAAAAATTTCAAAATAAAACATAAAACTTTTAAAGATTTTAATAAAGATAAATCTAAAAAGAAATTAGTTCAAAGTTTTAAAGAATTTCCTAATCCAATAAGAGAATTATCATTAAATTATAAATTAATTGAGATAAAATGGGAAAGAGATTTTTATAAATATAAAGTTTATGGCCCTGAAAGATATATAGAATATTCAACATGTCGTTGTTTATTTTTTTCAACACCTGGTTATAATAATTTACAATATTCTTTAATTGAATTATTCTCAAATTTAACTGAAAATTTCCAACGTGGTATACCTGCTTTTTTAAACACTGAATGTTTTGGTAATGGATTAGATATGATTGAAGATCATAAAGTATTAATGAAGATCATCCATGAAGAAAAAAATTCTCAAATACCTTTAAAAATAATATTTGAAAGTTTACTAACATACATCTTATCAGAAGAATATGAATCTTTAATTTTAAATGATAACTTATATGATCATAAGGTGAAAGCATATGAATTTAATTATCAAAATCAACTTAAAATTATGACAATATGGGGTGAAAAGCTTACATCTAGAAATGAAAAAGTAATGTTGGAACAATTAAATTATATGATATCAAATGATGTATTATCTGAACCTCCAAAGAATAGTACAATGACATTGATTCCTGGTTATTTAAATTATAATGTTTCAAAACGTAATGATAAACTTCCACCAAGTTATGGATTAAGTATTATGAAAGGATAATATGAAAGGATAACTTTATATATGTAACTGATGAACCTGCAATATAAATGTTGAGATTTAAATACTTCTTATTGTATAGTGAACAGCGCTACGCAAAGCTAACACAAACATCGAGTCTACATAGGCATTAAACACGTTAATTACACTCATTTCAGATAACAGACAAACTAATCAACTATTATTTGAAATATTTTGAGGACATTCTGCCTAATTTGTACATACGATCTTCGTCTGGTCAAAACCTTGATCATCATATAATCACACAATTAGTTAATGATTTGATGAGAATAATACACAAACCATGATAATTATCATATGTTTTATAATCATCAATGAAGTTTCATATTTGGAGTAATTGAACTAATTAATCAGTATAATCAAATAGTATACCATATAATATCATCATGATTATTGAAAAATCTGGATATAGAATTGAAATCTCTGCAGAATTATATGTCAAACCTAAACATAGGGCAGCTGAACATATTGGAATTGATAATTTATTACTAGCTAAATCACCAAAACATTTTAAAATAGATCATGAAACTTTCAATAATTTCTATATAGATAAGAAGAAACATAAATTGATTAGTATTTATAAAGAAATTCCTGAACCATCAAAAGAACTTATATTAAATCATAAACGTATTGTTATCAAATGGAGAAAAGTTAATGAATCTTCAAAATCCATATTTGGAAGCTCGGGTCCAAAAAAAACATGTCAAGTTGAATTTTATTTAATACCTGGTTACAATGATAGCTTAGAAGATTTCTTGATTAATATATTATCAGACTTGAATAGAAATTTCGAAAATAATATTGATATACCTGCTTTCTTGAATACTGAATCATTTGGTAATGGATTAGATATAATTGAAGAGAAAAAATTCTTGATGAATATATTCCATGAAAAGAAAAATGATCCATTACCTTTAGGAATCATATTAAAAAGTTTAATTTCATACATTATGTCAAAAGAATATGATATGTTTGATTCATATGATCATTTAGTTAAAGCATATGAATTTAATTATGCGAATCAACTTAAACTTATGGTCATATGGGGTGAAAATATAAAAACATTTAAAACTTATAAGATTATATTGGAACAATTAAATTATATGATATCAAATGATTTGATGTCTGAATCTCCAAATGATTGTTTAATTACATTGATTCCTGGTTATTTAAATTATAATATCAATGGTAATAATGATGAACTTCCACCAAGTTATGGATCAAGTGTTTTGAAATGATAATTTAATTGATGATTATTAACCTTGTAGTATTTGCAAGATGATCTTAGTAGAAAGTTAATCTACACTTAATTTCCAACAAAATTCAAAACATATTTAGCTCATTTTATATATAAATTAAAAAAGACAATACATCACACCTTCTTCATGATTGTTTACATTCTGGTGGTTGTTGTTTACCTTTAGAAGCTTGACCATCAGCACCTTCTTCTTCACTATCTTCATCATCATCATCATCACCTTCACTATCATCTTCTTCATCTTCTTCATCAAAATCTTCTTCATCATCAAATTCTTCATCTTCTAATCCATAATCAATAGCAGAACCTGTAAACCAATCAACAGCTCTTGGAATCAATTTATCTTTAATTTCTTCACCCAATTGATAATCTAATGCTAATCTTTCTTCTAAATCATCTTGATCTTGTTCTTCATCTTCTTCATCATCTTCATCATTTTGTTCATTTTGTTCATCATCAGGAGTTTTTGGAGGATCAAAGAAATTGAAAAAAGATTCAGTTGGAGTTAATTTTTCAATAGTTCTTGTTTGTTTAGTATGTTTATTTCTTTGTTTTCTTCTTTCTATAGAAATTGTAACATTTGATTCTTGAGATTTCCATTTAATTTCATCACCTTCAGCATGATCATAAATAAAATCACCTGAATAACCTAATTCTTCTTGATAATAATATGTTTTGGTTAAATTTTTGTTATGGAAAAATTCATTTTCATTAAATTCAAAAATTAATTTAAAACCAGGTTGATCTAAATATTCTAATTTAATATTTTTTAAAAATGATAAAACTTCAGAATCACGTTCAGTTATAGTATCAGAAACAGGATGTAAATTTTCCAAAGCGGTTAACCAGAAATGTGGGATACCTTTAATATCTTCTTGATCAACATCATCTTCTTGTTCTTCATCTTCTTCATTATCTTCTTCTTCAATATCTTCATCACCTTCTAATTCAGATTCAATTTTTTTACCAGCTTCAATTTCTTTTAAACTTGGTTCTAATTCACCATTGATGATATCAGATCTTTTTTGATATAAAGGTTCATATTTCTTATAAAATTTTTTTTCTAATTCTAATAATTCTTTTTGAAATTCTTCTTCTAATTTCATTTGATCAGATTGAACAGATTTTAATGAATAAATACGATTTTTAACATCTTTTGATAATGAATCAATATAACCAGAATCTTTACCAACTAAAGTACCTAATTTCCCTTGGATCATTGATAAGAAGGCTGGATTATTACTTAAATTTTTTTTAATTTCTGATTCTTCATCAATAGTTGAAGGAACAATTGGATTTGATTTTAAATAAGAGCCAGTTACAGAAGCTGGAGTGTTTTGAGGAGTTGGGGCAGAAGCCAATTGGTTGACTTTGTTTCTAATAGGTTGTTGAGACATGATTTAATGATCTAGTTGAATATTTAGTTGTTGATCTAGTTGTTCAATTTGATCCTTTAATTCTTTACTTTTCTTTTAATCGTTGATAAAATTTTGAAAATCCGCCACTGAATCAAAAAAAAAAGTAAAATTAAAAATTAAAATTAACGCGATTTATTGAAAATTGAACAAATTTGTATGGAGAATAATCAGAAATACTCAAATAACTCAGAAATATTGTATGGAATGCCTACTTTTAAACCAGATATATAGAATCTATGGACTAACATCACCCTTATAACACTACTCTTAATAAACAATACCAATTCAAAACCTTTGAAATCATTGAATTTATACTCTAAGCACGTGATCTCTTGGTCTATGATTCGCGAATCCATTTCCTTTAAAAGTGTCAAATTTCAAATTCAAACAACCAATTTTTAAAATGAGAAGACAACAAAAACACAAACAACTTAATTACTACTTTATTACTTTATTATTGATATATTATAAGTTACTCATAGTATTTCTTTATCATCAAGCACACTCCAAACACAAATGAACAAACCACCCAGGATTAACCATGCTTCCCATTCTCTAGCTAAATTATCCCTAGTTTTATCAATCTTACCAAAATTAACAACTTCAATCCCACTTTCACTTTTAGAATTCAATAAAAGAGATCATGTTGAAGCTGTCAAGGAAACCATAACTCCACAGGAATTTTGGATTAATATGATGATTTCCATTGTATTGGTCCTTGCAGGTGGTGTTTTCGCTGGTTTAACTTTAGGACTTATGGGTCAAGATGAAGTTTATTTAAAAGTTATTTCAACTTCTGGTGATGCAATTGAACAAAAAAATGCTAAAAAAGTTTTAAAATTAATTGATAGAGGTAAACATTGGGTTCTTGTTACTTTATTATTATCAAATGTTATTACAAATGAAACTTTACCAATTGTTTTAGATCGTTGTCTTGGTGGTGGTTGGCCTGCTGTTGTTTCATCAACCGTGGCAATTGTTATATTTGGTGAAGTTATCCCACAATCTATCTCTGTTCGTTATGGTTTACAAGTTGGTGCTTTTTTCACACCTTTTGTCCTTGGATTAATGTATTTTATGTATCCAGTTGCTTATCCAATCGCATGTTTATTAGATAGAATCTTGGGTGAAGATCATGGTACAATTTATAAAAAATCTGGTTTGAAAACTTTAGTTACTTTACATCGTACTATGGGTGTTGAAAGATTAAATAATGATGAAGTTACTATTATTAGTGCCGTTTTGGATTTAAAAGAGAAGAAAGTTCATGAAATTATGACTCCATTACAAAATGTTTATACAATGAGTTCTGATAGAATTTTGGATGAAAAATGTGTTGAAGAAATTTTTAATTCTGGATTTTCTCGTATTCCAATTCATTTACCAAATGAACCAAAAAATTTTATTGGTATGTTATTAGTTCGTGTTTTAATTTCTTATGACCCGGAAGATGCTTTACCAGTTTCAAGTTTCCCATTGGCAACATTACCAGAAACTCCACCTGAAACTTCATGTTTAAATATTTTAAATTATTTCCAAGAAGGTAAATCTCATATGGTTGTTGTTAGTGAAAATCCTGGTGATTCTGATGGTTCATTAGGTGTATTAACTTTAGAAGATGTTATTGAAGAATTAATTGGTGAAGAAATTGTTGATGAATCTGATGTTTTCATTGATATTCATAAAAATATAAAAAGAACTCAACCAGGTCCATTATCTAAGAGACATTTAACTCAATATTTACATTCAATTTATCATAATTCAAATAGAAATTCATTGGATAATAATTCAACAATTGATAATTTACCAAATTATATTATGAAAGATCATAATAATAATGTTAATCATGGAGCTGAAGTTTTAACTTCAATTGTTCCAAGTAATTTAGCTTCAAATCCTTTAGAAACTTCAAAACCTTTTGTTACTATTAAAAAACAACCTCAACCAACAAGACCAATCACACCATTAAGATATGATTATCAAGATGATCATATTGTTAATAATAGTAGCAATACACCATTATCAAGATCTCAATCACCAAATTATGGTTCAGCTTCAATTTCAATTAATGAAACTTCAGGTGGTATTTCAGGTTCAGGTAAAAAAAATCCAATTAAACAACATATTCCAAAAAAGAAAACATTCCAAATACCCATTTCAAATGAAGAAAGAAATTCAACTGATTTATCAGAATTTTCTAAAACAAAATATACAAATCAATTTTTAGAAGATAATGAAAATTCAACAAAATTAGATCAACAATATGAACATAGTTATAGAACTGGTGGTATTATTGAAAGTGTTGTTGAAGTTGATGGTGTTTCCAAGACTATTATTGAAAGTGCTCATGATTCAGATGATGAAGATCAAGATAAAAGTATTAAAGGTTATTTAGTTGATGAAGAATCTGATTCAAATAGATTATTAGATGATATAGGGAGATGATGACCATTACAACACTATATCAAATAACCCAATTATTATACCAATTATTAAATATTAAATATTACTAACTTATTATCTCATTTACTTTATTACTTTACTTACTTTACTTTACTTTTAAATTGATTTATATTATTGTTGACTTCCAAATACGGTAGACTTCCCAATGCGGTAATAACTTTACAATTTTTCATTCTCGGTAAAATTAAATTTAAAAATCCCGATCGCGAATTCATTTTTTATTTTTTTTTTGAGATTTTCATGATTTTAATACGTGAAAACAAAATAAACTGAGAATTTAATGGACAATTATAATTGGATTAAAACTACGACAGTGATTTACTTGATTTGTTAAGGAATTGTTTATTCAATTGAATTGTTAGGTTTGTTTTCTGCTGGACAGTCTACTGGGAACCATTTCATTGAAAGGGCTGATTAGCTGAGTGTCAATTATATCAATTTCAACAGATTTAGTGAGCTTCACCACCAATTTCGGTTAAAAGAAAGGGGAAGTTTTTGAGAAAGTTTTACTTAGTACATCTAAAGAGAAGAATATCTGAAAGAGAAGAATAAAAGGGATAAATTATTCAATTCAGATCTATTAATTGTTTTAAAGGTTTTTTAAGGTCTTGTTTGTTATCATCTTCTTTTTATTAGATTTTGGACATCTGCTGATTGCTGCTTTTTAGTGAGTCAAAACATCAAAAAATATCAAATCAACACATCAACACATTTAAAATGACTGAAAAGGATAAATATGAAGATGGATCCATCTTAATCAATGATCAAGTACAAAATTTAAATATAAGGAATGTTAATTCAACTTCTTCAAATCAATCTTATCAAAATCCAAAACATTTATCTCCATCTCAATCTTCAATAATATCAAATGCATCAAATGAATCTCATTCAAAATCTTTATTACATTCTGCTAAATCTAAATTAAAATTATTTGGACTTGGAGGAAGTGGTGGTTCAAATTCATCAGGTGTAAATTCAAATAAAGATTTAAAATTAACTCCAAAAACTTCAAAATCTTCAATATTTTCTCCAAAAATTCAATCAAAAAGTCCCAATGGTTCAATAATGGCAAGTCCTCAACAATCAAATGATCCTCATCATCATCAATATCAACAACAAATACATCATCATGAACCTCCACATGAATTGAAAAGTAAACCTTTAAGATTGAAACGTTTTTTCAAAAAAACTGCTAAACCAAAAGATACAGTTAAAAAAATCATACCAGATCATCATAATCATCATCATCATAATAACCACATTGAATCAAATGAAAAACATTCAGATCAAACAATGCCTTCAAATAAACATACAATTGCAAATTATATAGATCAATTAAATCAATCTGAAGGTTTAAATTCTCCAAGTCCTTCATCAACAAAATTATTATTTGACACTGATAATGCTTCAGAATTAATGGATAAATATGGTATCCCAGGTAAAGTACTTGGTGAAGGTGCTGGAGGTTCAGTTTCAGTTGTAGAAAGATCTGATGGGAAATTATATGCAGTTAAAAAATTTAGACCAAAAAATGATCGAGAAACTGAATCTGATTATAGTAAAAAAGTTACAAGTGAATTTTGTATTGGTTCTACATTAAAACATCAAAATGTTATTCAAACTTTAGATATGATGAAAGAAGGTTCAAGTTTCCTTGTTGTTATGGAATTTGCTCCTTTTGATTTTTTCACAATTGTTATGAGTGGATTAATGACAAAACATGAAATTTTTTGTTGTTTTAAACAAATTACAAATGGTACTGCATATTTACATTCAATGGGGTTGGCACATCGTGATTTAAAATTAGATAATTGTGTTGTTTCTAAAACTGGGATTATAAAATTAATTGATTTTGGTTCAGCTGTTGTTTTTAAATATCCTTATGAATCTGAAATTGTTAAAGCAAAAGGTGTTGTTGGTTCTGATCCTTATTTAGCTCCAGAAGTACTGGTAGAGAGATATTATGATCCAAGACCTGTTGATATTTGGTCTATAGCAATAATGTTTTGTTGTATGACCCTTAGAAGATTCCCATGGAAGGCACCAAAACAAAGTGATAATTCATTTAAATTATTTACTACAATACCTGAAATTGATCCTGAAAATCCAAATCATAAATCAAGATCAAAAGGTCCATATAGATTATTAAGATTATTACCACATGCATCAAGAGAATTAATTGGATTAATGTTGGAATTAGATCCTAAAAAAAGATTATTAATTGATGATGTTGTTAATAATCAATGGTTTAAATCTATAGAATGTTGTGAAATTAATGATCAAGATGAATTAATTAAAAAATCTGAAACTCATAAACATCATCTTGTAACTGAAGATGAATTAAATGAAATTCAACAAAAAAAGCAACAAGAAAAACAAAAACAAGAAGTTAAAAATAATGAAACTTCAAATCAAGCTGTTAAAGTTGGTGGTTAATCTATAGGTTAAGCATATTTTTTTTATTTTCATTCATTTTTGGTAAATTACATATAGCTTTGGGGTTTATATCTTTTATTCTTACGTTTACGTTTACATTTAATTTTATTTAAGGGGAGTGGGTATTTTAATTTTACAAAGAAAACAAAAGCAAAAAAGCAATATATGGGAAAATAAAACACAATGATAATCATGTTATCAAGATTTACATCTACAATCAACATGATTTTCAAATCATTATTTTAATGAGTAAATTGGGTTTATATTTGTTTTTCTATAATTATTATTATTTATACATGTATCTGGTTTCTTTTTTTTTTCCCTCAAAAAATGTAGTATGATATTCAACTTCAACTATATAATATAACATGTAGTTAATCATGGCCAACCATGATCAAATAACATTGAAACAGATTCACCATTATGTATTCTTCTAACAGCTTCACCGAAAATTTTTGAAACATCTAAAACTTCTAATGAATCACCTAATTCCTTTTGATGATCTTCTTGTGGTACAGAATTTGTAACAATAATTTTATCGATTGAACTTTGTTTAACTCTCTTGATAGCATCACCACTGAAAATTGCATGAGTTATTAAGGCATAAACTTTAGTAGCACCTTGATCTTTCAACAGTTTTGCAGCTCTTGTAATTGTATATGAAGTATCAACTAAATCATCAATTAAAATACAAACTTTACCTTTAACATCACCAACAAGCATTGTTGTAGCAAATTTTAATTTTTTCTCAACAGACAATTCACTCAAAGATTGTTGTAATGGTACACTTGAAACTGAATTATTTGAACTTTCTATAGAACTTGCACTATTTAATTCATTATTAGTAGCATTTGAAGGATGACGACTCTTGTGAGAACGACGTTCTTTATGAATCAAGGCAAATGACATAGCTAAAGTGTCGGCAATTGCAGTAGCTCTTTTAGCACCACCAGCATCTGGGGATACAATAACAGCATCTTGATAATTTGGAATCTTTGTTGATATATAATGTTGTAAAATTGGTTTTGAATACAAATTATCAACAGGTATATCGAAAAATCCTTGGAATTGAGCATCATGTAAATCCATTGTAATGATATGATCAGCACCTGAAGTGGTTAATAAATCAGCAACTAATGTACCAGCTTGTGCAACCCATTGTTTATAACCAGAATTTGTATGATTTTTGGAAAAAGATTCAGATGTACTATTTTCTTTTGATTCTGGAATTTTTGGAATACGAGAATGATGATGATGATGATTAGGACTATCAGCTTTACTTGGAGTTGGTTGTTCTAATTTAAAAGTTGGTGGTGGAGCTTGATGTTGATGTAAGATTTCATTTGGTTGTATATCTTTTGAAGGAGTTTCATTAGAATCAAAATTAGAATTTCTTGAAGTAGCTCTTGGAGTATTTGGTACACTTTCAAAAGTATATTCATTTTTTGGTTTTGAAACTAATGGAGCACCTTTTTTAGTATATGGGATATCAGGTTGTCTTGAATAAGGAAACAATGGGATAACAGCAGTGACTTTTTTAGCAGAAGCAGTTTTACAAGCACTAAGGATAATCAACAATTCAATCAAGCTATCATTAACATGACCACATCCACTCTGCACCACATAAACATCTTTTTCACGAACAGATTCATTAATACTTATTGAAGTTTCACCATTACTGAATTTACCTAATTTGACTTTACCTTTATCAAGAGATAAGTTGTGACATATTCTTTCAGCAATTTCTGGGTGTGAGCTCCCAGAGAAGACAACGATATCGTGAACCATTGTATGAGCAAATATCTAGCTAATAAATAAAACCAAAACTAGTGTAGATGAGCAGCTCAACTTTAACAAATGAGTTCAAAATGAGTTCAAAATGAGTTGATAATATTTTTTGATTCACGTTTTGTGCTCATAAAAAATTTGACAGAATTCGCGGGTGGATTAAAGGGAAGGAAACAAAATTGGTACCAAAATTGTTGGTTTTGTATGGGAACTTTGTGTGGAATAGTTTAAATTTTGGATGAAATTCAATTAATTGTTTAATAATATCAAATTGGTTTGAAAAATCGTGTTTTCTCAAGCTAAAATCATAATTTTCCCCTTTTAAAATGACAATTTCCCATACAAATTTAGATCAATTGTGATATGCGCGAATCCAAATATGTCGATTGAATAACAAAACAAATATTCAAACAATTTAGATTACGGAAAGAACGCCAACAAAACAGATATACTAGAAATTTTAACAAGATGTTGAACGCGTTGTTCATCTTCAATCAAAAGGGGGATGTTGTCATATCCCGTCTGTTCAAAGACGGTGTCAAACGGAATATTAGTGATATTTTTAGAATCCAAGTCATTTCCAATCTTGACGTGAGTATAATTGATCTTGATTTTGGATATTGCTACTTTTACAATGAATTTGTTTACTAACTGGTCGAGTACTCTAGTTAAGATCACCATTGTTAACATTAGGATCAACTACTTTTTTACATATCAAACATAATGATCTTTGGATAGTTGCAGTTACAAGATCAAATACTGATGCTTCATATATATTGGAATTTTTATATAAATTTTCAAATTTATTAGTTCAATATTTCCATGAATTAAATGAAGATATTATAATGGAATATTTTTCAATAATTTATGATTTATTAGATGAAATTTTGGAATTTGGTTATCCTCAATCAATGGATTATAATAATTTAATTCAAATTATACCACCACCAAAAGAAATTACTCAATTAAGTGGATTAAGACCAATTTTAAATCAAAAATCAACATCACAGAAAAACATTCATAGAGAATTAACCACAGATATTCCATGGAGGAAATCAGGTATTAAATATAGAAGAAATGAAATTTTTTTAGATGTTTTTGAAAAAATTAATGTTTTAATTTCAAAAGATGGTCGTATAATAAAATCTTATGTTGATGGTCATATTGATATGAAAACTCAATTATCTGGGATGCCAATTTGTAAATTTGGTTTAAATGATTCATTATCTTTAACAAATGATGATGATAATAATTTCCTTTCAAAATATGATATTAAAAATAAAAAAGCTATACCCAAAGCTGCTGCAGGTAGTGTTATATTAGAAGATTGTAAATTTCATCAATGTGTTCAATTAGATAAATTTGATTTAGAAAGATTAATTAATTTTGTTCCACCAGATGGTGAATTTGAATTGATGAGATATAGAGCAAGTGAAAATATAAATTTACCATTTAAATTAACTCCAATGATTTCAGAAACTAGTTCAAGTCGCGGTGGAGGTACAAACGGCTCAAAGTATGAATTTAGAATTAATTTAAAATCATTATTTTCTGCAAAATTAACTGCAGTTGATGTTATTGTTAAAATTCCAACTCCAAAGGGTACAATTGATGTTAATTTTGGTACTTCAGGAGGTAAGGCAAAATTTAGTACAGAAGATGGTGCAATTATATGGAAATTTAATAAATTTACAGGATTAACAGAACATACATTAACTGCTGATGTTTCATTAGCTAAATCATCATCATCATCAACTAGTAATTCAAATATAAATAATATATCAAAATCTCCTATAACATTGGATTTTGAATTATTAATGTTTAGTAGTTCAGGTATTGTGGTACGGTTCCTAAAAGTTGTTGAGAAGAGTAACTACACCACTGTGAAATGGGTTAGATATATATCACAAGGAGGATCATATGAGATTAGGTATTAAAAAAGTATAAAATATAATATAATATAGTACTTATTACTATTACGTAATTTATTATGTAATCATCAATTTAAGATCCGACCATGAACATCACATGACTCTTATCTCCTCGTATTTCCCCTTTGAGAAAATGTGCCAAAATAAAACAAATTCCTGATTCTGGGCCCTGGCAGCTGGCCATCTCAGTTTTTATATTTTGATTAATCTCATCGTGTGAATTTTGGCTGTGATCAGATTTGAACAGCATTGACTTAAACAGGCTAATATTGATATTTTAATTGGTTGGTTGGTTTCTCTGCTGGTTTCACTTTTGGAAAGGATCATAACATTATATACAAAGGTCAAGATTGGAAAGTTGGGTTTTTGAGTGGTTTTTTGAGTTGATGAGTTTGGTGTTTATTTATATTTGAATTAAGATCGTTAAGAAACAACTCAATTTATATATTGGGTAAAAACACAAGACAAAAGTGGTACTAATCTTATAAAGATTGGAACATAATATTGATATAACACATATAATACACTGTCAGTTCATATTTCCATTGATTTCCATTGTCATTCGCTTTTAGTTTATTTACATTCTCTCCAATATGACACCAAGTGGGACAATTATACTTGGTTGTATAATTGGTGTAATATCATCAGCAACTCAATCAATAGGATTAACATTACAAAGGAAATCTCATATAATGGAAGAATTTAGAATAGATAATCATAGACCACCTTACAAGAGACCATTATGGAGAATTGGGTTTTTATTGTTTTTAATTGCTAATTTATTAGGTTCATCAATTCAAATTACAACTTTACCATTAATTATCCTTAGTCCTTTACAAGCTATTGGATTAGTTTTCAATACTATATGTGCATCAATTATACTTCATGAAGCTTTTACAATGTTTTCTATAATAGGAACTATATTGGTTGGTTTAGGTGCACTTGCAATTGCTTCATTTGGTAGTATACCTGAACCAAATCATTCATTAAATGAATTATTAGAATTAATGAAGCGTGAACAATTTATTTCATGGATTATATTAAGTAATTTTGGTGTCCTATTAATTTTAATTTGGATTTATCTTAATAAAATAATTCATTGTGATCAAAAATTGCAATTTTTAAATTTTGAAAATTTACCATTGAAAATACGACCTTTATTTGATATTACAAGAGAAAAATTCAATTTTGTTAAAGGTTTACTTTATGGTATAATAAGTGGTGTATTATCTGCACATTCATTATTATTAGCAAAATCAACAGTTGAATTAATATTCACC